TCGTGTGACATGTTAGTTTTTCGTTCTGGCTTGAGCGTCTGCGCCCCCCCTTGCATGGGCAGCCATGCCATCCCGGCTGTCATCGATGCCTGTCGTCCCCTCTGCACTTGTAGTGGCTTAACACCAGCACTCAGAACCGGTGCCTCGTCATACACCTCCCCCCGTCATTCCTTAACCATTCCTACCTGCATTGAGCCTGACCCTCGATGAAACGTATTAGGCCAATACTGGTGTCTCAGCTGTACGTCCTTTCTTCAGTAGCCACGCCGCTCATACTTATCGGATTCAAATCTTTACCATATGTGACAGCCACGGCAAAACCAGCGAGCAGTCGGCTTGGGGGGATTCACCATACCCCCACCCCCCCGCTCCCACCCTATTTTGCTTTTTCAAATTAGTGGGTTTTCGCCCCACCGATGTACAGCATCGGGAGCAATTTGGGGTTCAGTGTCTTGCTCAAGGACACTTCAACTTGCTGAGCCTTTGTTGTTTGTCTTCCTCCTCAGACTCCCACTCTGTTGCTGACTCCTAGTCCTCTGCTGTCCAACATCCACTTCTGGAGCACGCTTAGTCCGGTCGCTCCCCTCAGCCCAGCTACACGCCGCCAGGGAGGCCAACTGTTCCAAGTCAGTACATTAGAGTATATGTACTCTACTATATTTCTCTGTATGTCTGTATTTGTCTAAAGCGTCCTAACACTCCGTTCTGCTCTCTTCCAGTTTCCGTCTGTCCTCACCCCACAGTTCCAGATCCCTGTACACAGTATCGATGGGACCAACACACCCGGCCCCATTTCCCCAGACCCTCAGAAGACATAAGATTAACCCCCCACACAGCCTCACTGCATTTGGACCCAGACAGCCAGACACTCCCCCCACTGCTCCATTCCCCACTGCTCCATCCCCTACTCCCACATCCAGGACAATTATGTGGGAGCTCAGTTATTGCCATTCCTCATCACTCCGGTGCTTTAAAGTTCACAGCCACAGAATTCACACTACAGTCAGACTTGTGGAGGGAGGATCTGGAGAAATGTTGGCAGTCAACATTCAGTTTGTTTTCTGAGCGGATGCTAACCTGTACTCATACACACTGATGCCACCGTTCCTTATGCACTTTCATTTTGATTCATTTTCTCTGGCTTTTTGGAATCCTCAGTCACAACAGTTGGAAGAAGGGAGGAATTTCCATGGCAACAGTTGGTGCATGTGGATTGGACCTCAGCAGCAACAATCTGCTTCATACTTTGACACACAGACCAGTGGGGTTGCAGATAACTGAATGTTTCCTTTAATAGAATTTCCTTCTTCTCTTGTGCAACAGTGTTACTGCCAAAAAAGACATTATCAGTTAGTTTTTAACTTTTTCTCTCCTCTGCTGACATGGACTCTGTTCTTTTTGTGCTCTGTCCTTTACTTTTACTCTTGTTGAAGAGTAGCGCTTTAACCTGATAACCTGCATGTTTACCTGCAACTCTCCAGCTCTCAAACTCGCCTCACATGCCTGAGTGTGTACTGTTTGCTGCTCTCAAATGTTGGCTGACTATAGCCATACTTTTACCTTGACTGTCTTATCGTGACGTGTGGCCATAATCCAAGCTGAACCTTGAGTCTTGCCTCTATGTAACTGTTCTAGTGCATATATATACAGTGGAATAGCCCCGAAAGTCAGTGTGGCCTGGTTTGCCTCCAGCCCGTAAGCTTTCATGTGGGAATTGAATAAAGTGAAGCCATAACAGTTTGTACGCATCGACTCTGCAAGCAACAACCCAAATCCTGTATTTGATAATGAAAATGAACTCTACATTGTTAAAGGCAGCCACCATAAGGACACTTACTTCCAGTTTTTAAATCAAAATTGTAGAGATAGAAAATATTCAAGAAAATGTCTGACATGGGAAATACATTTAATTCGCTTTCTTGCAGATAGAAAGATTGACACCACTCATGTCTGTATGGTAAATATGTAGCTGGAACCAGCAGCTAATTACCTTAGCTTAGCATAAGGGGTTATGTGACAGACTGTTTCTTCAACCAGTCTCAGCTGGTTGCCAAGCAACTGTTTCTGGCCAAGAAATTGTCCCAGCACACCCATAAAAACCACAGCCTGTTGTTTTTACACTTTTGCGAGATATAACATGTTAATTAGAGCTTTAGAGGTATTTTAGGAGGATTTACTTCCCTTTGGGCAGAGCCAGGCTAGCTGTTTTCCCCATTTCCTGCCCCTGCTAAGCTAACCAGCTGCTGGATCCACATTAGGCACAAGAGTCTTCTTGTCTAACTTTTGGCAAGTAAGTAAAACAGTGTTTTTCAGATTTGTACAATCTGAACTTAAGCCAAACAAAATAGTTTCTCATAAAGCAAAATTACACCAGAGCTTGGAACTGTTGATTCTCCACAGGTTGGCTCTGTTTTCTTTGTTTTAAATGAATGGGCTTTGATTAATGTTGCTTGCCATGTCGGTGCAGTTAATTTATCTCTGACTGAACCTCAAAATCTTAGCGGCTAGACTTTGAACAGTCCAGCCTCATCCTTTGCCGAGCCTTAGCCATCTGAAATAGATCAACCTTTAATCCAGGAGCATTGAAGCACCTTCCTTGCCCTAAAACCCCCTCCTCTAGATGATGAGCCATGAAAGGCTTATACCTGTTTTGTAAATGACTTTGAAGCCATAAGTCTGAGACGCAGACTCAAGAGGGAGACCCCACATTTCTATGCTATCAAATGTGGAAATTGTACATCACACTTGTTTACACAATACTTGGATAGAACACACTTAAGTGTTTCTTTACCTAAGTGTCCCTTTCTAACCCAGGGATGGATGACCAGCGAATCTTGTAGAGGGAGGGGGGACTCATACTCAACTAACAAGACATTTGCCCCCTCAACGTCTGTCACGTTGATATACGGTGCCTTACCACAGCCAAGCCCAAGTTAATCTCCTAAAAGTGGATAAAGTTCTATCATTTAAAAGTTAGTGTGGAGCTAACAGTATACGACAGCGTTTGTTGTTTGTTTTTCTGCCATATCCTTGCGTAGACCAAACCAGAGCCCCAGAAGTTTGCAGTAAAACTTCACAGGGATGTTTTGTGTCTGAGTTCACTGCTCACAGCTTGTGTGGTCCGCCACAGCTTACTCTGTGTATGTACTGCAGGACCTTCAATGTGCTGCGGTGCTCTTCAGGATGCATACCTGTACATACAGACAGCAACATGAGTCAATATGCAGAGCATGTAAATCTAATCAGGCCATGCTTTAGAGTTGGTGGCCATGTCTCCAACCTGCTTCTAAATGTTTGTGATAACAAATTTACTCAAAATATATATATATATATATATATATTTTAAACGTGTTTACTATGTTTTGTGTAATCTCCTTTCATTTTCCTGAACACCAATAGAATTTTAAGATTAATTTCTATTTTTGTAACGGCCAGATAGTTAGACGTTCTGCTATTTTGGGTTCTCTGATTTAATGTTCTCTTTGTGCATGTGTTCCTTTATGTTTTCCTCTCGTATATCTGGGAGGCGGCGGCCCCATGGTGCCATTGGCTATTTTTGGGAATCAAAGCCTTATATGGGGAGAAATCTAAATCTATGTTTTATATGTAAAGTGTTTTGATATAGTGTTGATATTGTACATGCAGATGTTGTGATGAAACGTTTGCACTTAAACTTTCGGGGTTCCTGTAGTATTGGATTCTGTCGCTTTTCTATGACTCAGATTTCCTCTTTGAAATGTTGTCGATGTTTGCTTACTGAGAAATGTATATTTTCCCAAAGGGAGGATAAAATTATGCACTTCATATTTTATATGGTAAATCTAATCTTTTTCAATCAAAGGATTTACATTTGTGATTAGGCACAACCACACAATATTTATTTATTTGAATTTATAACAGATCCCAATAGAATTGGTAGCTTATATTGCATTTTTTGCAGCGACTTTGATAAAAACCTATAATATTGCTGGATAATAACCCCAAAGGCCATTTGAAACTCCTCCATCAAGTCTTATGGGACTTGTCGTTTGCATATTTCTTCATTTGTATCTTCTGATGATGTTTTTCCTTCAACTTACCTTGAAATGTAAAATCTTGTTTTAAAAAGAAATGACACAGTTCTTGCTATGTTCTGTCCAGTTTTCTATTTGTTTGATGCTTTTTCAAATGTTTACAGGCTACTTGTCTTAAGTGGCGTATTGATGTGTGAGAGGCGTAGAGGGAGTGTTTATAATGGAAGAGATAAGGGAGACCAGTAATAAAAGATCTCTAACTAACCACGTCTCTGTATTCCATCATCATGTGTTATTAAGGTCTGGTGGCTCCATCCAGCCAACAGGAAATCACAAACAGTAGGACTTACACAGTCTGATCTGAGTCACAGTTACACAACAGTAGCAACCAGATATATTGCAGGTACCACAGAGCAGATATCACACATGCTTTTACCTCCATTCCCATTCACATTTGCACTGAAAAGGCAATGTTTAATCATTAAAGTGTCTTTTGAAGATACCTACAGCAGAATTCAAATGTGCAACATGAGATGATTGTCCCAAAAATTAAGTCAAGCACAGCTGCTTGTTGATCATCAGGCTTCAAAGTAGACTTCTCTTTAGGTCAGAAATGTTCACTGGCAGGAGGCCAGGAAAACCTCAGACACTGGGGTAAAAGGTCAGAGACCTCAGCAGAGCCAGCGGGTCCTTAATGTCCTCTGGTCAGTCTCTCAGGCACCCTCAGATCAGGAGCCTCCTGTCTTTGGCTTCTCTTCCATGTCAGTGTTTTTAGATGAATCTGAGAAGTAAACAGTGCTCATTAGTTTGACCCAGTGTGTTGTACAATGAAAACACGGCTGCAGAACTGATCCTGCAGAGTTCTGCAGGGATGACATATTTTTGTAAGCAAACTAGAAGTTAGCATCACGCTGGTTCCTTTGACAAAAAGCCAATGAGAAGAAGATGATGCTTTTTGGCCAAGGTTTATAATACACGTTTTTAGCAAGATAATCTTCACAAATGAACACTGCCTATATAATCTTTGAAGCGTAAATGTGAATTCCAGAAGAAGCTAATGTTAGGCTCTAAACGACGGAAGTCAGCAAACGTGACTAAATGTAATGTGAATAAAACTAACATTATCTTGTCTGTGAACTTGACACCACAGATAGATTTTCATCGACTGAATAGACCGACTTAAAATACTACAGGCAGGCTACATATTGCTGTTATTATTTTAACAATTAAACTATTTTTAACAATTAAATACCACAGATAGGCCATTATTTTTATAATTACTCATGTGATATTGTTACTTTTATATTGTTTATTAAGAATATATATAAAGGCAATTCACTTTTTGTGACTCATTTATTGAACAAATGTTCCAAATGTTGTTCTAAATTAAATTCATAAAGCAACTAAACAAATTTCCTGAGTCACATATTACCCTCCACTGCTCACAATATTAAGGCTGTTCATTTGTGCAAAGGAAAAGTTGCTCTTTTAGAGCAGTGATTAGTGGCCTAAATATTTATTTTCAAGCTACTGAAAATTTTTGTTTTCAGTTGTCTGCCACGCCTTTTCTCTGTTTTATTACAGCCACTTTTTCCTTTTTACATAATATGCTTTACATAAGCTTCCATTATGTAAACGTTCTCTGCATTTCAACATCAGTAAATCTGGGATTGACTTTGTGGTCTGTTGAAGAAAGCAGTGAAAGTGCATTTATCCAAATTACTTAAACCTGGCTTCACCTAGATGCACCTCCTCAGCCTGGCTTTGTGAAGGCTAATAAGCCAGGATGCTCTGACTGGGCTAGGTCAGGCCTCGCTTTTTCAGTTATCCTGGATTTCTTAATTCCGCTCTGTTTGTAAGCACCACATAAATTACATTAAGTCGTGTTGCACATATTGCAGTCTCCTGGTGTTATGTGGCATCAGTGTTTCTAACAGAAATATGTAATGCCTTATTCTTTGAGTTCCCAACGTCCACAGAAAGTTATATATTTCATTGATTTTCACCCTATGTGTCTACCTGACGTGTGTTTACCTGTTTGGCAGTTTCTGTGGACGCGCTGGACATAGAGGAAAAGCAGGAAGAGACAGAAGCCGATGAATGATGCTATTGTACAACACAACAGGAAAGCGTAACTGCCCTGACTGTGGATTACCTGTAGGAAAACACACACACATGCACACACACAGTGGGTTTCTCATCTCAAACATCATTGCAATCAATGCTGGAAAGCAATGTAGCTACAGAGCAGGTTTATAATGGCAATGTTACCACTTCATTCATTCAGACACAGCGGGCCGCCACCGCCACACTAATCCTTGTGGAAAATAATGCCTTGCTGCAGGCAAGTTCCCCACAATGCTGAAACACCTTCAAACTGACGTCCACGTCAAGGTCCACAGCAGGGTTTCCACATATTTTTGTTTTTATTGTTATCATAAATGCCTGTTCCTGTACTGTGAAGCAATTATTATTGTATCAAAAAACAAACAATATGCAGAAATAACCCTGAAAAAGAATCACATAAAACCACTAAATGTAGAAACATTGGTTTGATTTCAATTGATTTAATCGTAACTGTAAATAAATTCAAGATTCAAGAAGGAAGGACACTCATGAAAGAGTTCTTACAGATCCAACAAGCAGCTGCAGCATCATCTCTCCTGTGCTGGCACTGGTCACCAGGACAGTTGTGGCACAGCCTTGAACACAAAAGAGATAGACATATTATTTGCAGTTACGGAGGACTAAAAATTACAAATGTATAAATAAATAAATAAATCAATAATATAAGTCAATAAGTCAATATTAGCACTGCCTCCTGAAAGTTAATGATTTAAGCCATCAGTTGAGAAGATCTGGAGTCGACTTGGTAATGGAAATGGAGGGTAGTGCGACTATTGCATCTGCCGACATCAGCTAAACCACTTCTAAACCAGATGCTGGTACAACTTCCTCTACAGACTTCCACTTTTGAGTATCAGCAGGCAGAGAGGAGGGATGCTTTGCGGTGTGCTGGGATGTTATTACTGAACTAGAAAGGTTGTGTCAATGCGTTTTGTTTGTACAGTGATGTTTGAGGTGGCTGTTATATTTTGTTGTATAGTCACGGCACATCATTCAATTAAATTACAATGGGTTCAATGCGTGATGAATTCACTTCATTTAGCCATAGACCAATTGGCCTATGTTGTAATGCTAACCAAACTGGAAAATTATTTGTGTATCTGCCCTATGATTCGGATCTGCTCCAAAATGTAATGGGTTCTTCCTTGGCCTATGCTACACCCTTCCACCAAGTTTCGGGCCAGTAGTTTTTCCATCATCGAAAACTTTGCCTCCTTGGCGGAGGTAATAATGCCATATTTTTACTTCACAGATGATGAACAAGGGCATTGAAACATGGTCTAGCAGGTAGAGCTGAACAGACATTAACTGGACAGGGCAGTGAATAATATATTTCTCATACTTGTAGGTAAAGTGTATTTTAAAAAAAAAAAAAACATCAGTAGTGTTTATAAAAACAAAAAATATCTATATATAAGAAAAAGTATAAAGCTCACATGACAAAAATTTGAAAATACAGAAATAAATACATTTGTAGAAATAAACGTGTTGTTTTTTTCTGATTTATTTTATTAATAAAAAATAAAATAATTATTAAACCTATTAATTTTCTAAAATTGTCTGTCATTTCAACTTTCATTTGTTTTTGTAATTGTATCATTATATATATTAATATATATTCTATATATTTTTAAATGCATTTTTGTTTGTGTTTTCTATTTATTTATAAATGTACGTTTATTTATTGATAACAAAAAATGACGTGTGTGTCTGTCAGTGTGAATTTGTTTACCTTTGTAGTCCAGTGTGTCCTCTGTAAATGCCAGCATGGAGGGGAACACACTGCTGATGCACAGTCCCAACACGCAAGTACCGATGAAGAGAAACACGCAGCTGGTATAGAAGATCAGCAACAGGAACTGCACCAGTATGACCCCCACCTGAGAGAGACACACAGTGAGAGTGAGACCATGACTTAACAGAAGACTGTGTTCTGTTGCATCAACACACCACAAAAAATTAACCAATACATTTTACAAACATCTGTTATCTGCCCTTAAAGTAAACCATTTGAAGACTTTCAGTACAACTCTCAGGCCCAAACAAAAGCAAAGAACATCACAAAACACTCTTTCCTTTCTAGCCTTTCACAAAACCTGCCTACATTCATTTCGTCAACATAGCAAAGGATTTAGAATTTCTCCAGTGATGCATCTTGCCAGGCTTAAAGCTATGAACATCAGTCCTGGGTGAGGGATTCCTGCTCAGTTGCTCTTCCTGAAGTTTCTTCCTTTTTTACTGTTAATGATTTTTGAGAGTTTTTCATTATTCTTATCAAAGGTCTAAAGACAGAGGGTGTATGCTGTACAGTCTGTAAAGCCTCTTAAGGCAAATTCTGAAGTCTTTTTAATCTAACAACACACAGATGTATATCAAGACGTCAACTTTTCACATGACATTTGGGGATCTTGCTTTTTCTTTTAACATCTGAGTATGTACCTCTAACCATCACGGCAACCTATTAACTATGACCTATTACCTACTACATATGTGCGGAAACCAGCTCAAATAGTAGCCACTGGCCCAAAACCTAAGGATGTTGTCGCAAATGTTTAACAAAGATTTTCCAAAGCAACAACATTTCATATAACATTTGGGGGCACCATCACAATAAACTATGACCAAACAGGGTCCCACATCTGCCGAAAATCGGGATCGAACTGCCGACCATCAGCTCTTCAGTCTGACCTCAAAAAAGTAGTAAACAGATTTTGCAAAGCAAAAACAAATTTCAACAAAAAAGTAAAAAACTGTGTCCTACATGTTTTACCGAGATTTCCAAGAGCAAGAAATTTTTACATGACATTTGGGGATCTTGCTTTT